TTTGGATTTTAAGGACTAAGGCCTGAAAAGCATCAGACGTATCAGATTTTTCTCTTAAAAAATTTACCCATGAAAAACGAGTAAAATCATCAACGGTCAAGAAAATACATCTTTTACCTCCAATGCTTTTAGTGCGAGTGGGTCCCATAAGATCTATATGAACCAATTCAAGAGGACGTTTGGTTATAAAGCTGTTCACCTTTTTATGAGGGGCACAGGTTTGCTTCCCAAGTTGACATGGTTCACACACATGGTTCATATTCTTACCCAGTTTAGGTACTCCTCTCATAAGCTCTTTGTTGGCTATCTTAGTTAGGTCTTTGAAATTCATGTGACCTAATCTTTGATGCCGCAGATCAATATTACTTATGATGGCTGAGTGACAAGTGAGATCACTAGTGGTAACAATCCCATAGCAGTTATCAGATATGAGAACCTCATGCATGACAGTATTTCCCCTTTTATCTAAAATTTCATATTTATTTTTTGAAAATAATACTTCATGGTGGGAATCACACATTTGATTGATGCTCAAAATATTTTCTTTAAGGCCATCAACAAGTAATACATTTTCGAACTTGGGAAGACCAGCTACACTTATAGAGCCCTTACCAATGACTCTAGAAGTGTCACCATCTCCAAAGGTAAAAATTCCTCCTTCATATTTTTCAAGGGAGGTGAAGTAGGATTTGTCACCTGACATGTGACGAGAGCACCCACTATCAAGGTACCACATGTGTGAGTCACGTGCTTTTAGATCAGCGTGAACAACAAAACAAGTCAAGTCACCCATTCTCACCCATATCTTTTTGCTCTTAGCAAAATTAGGACTAGCAGTCTTGGTAAATGTCTTAGCGTTGTGAATACGCTCATGAATCTTAGTGTTCCACCTAGACATGTAAGGTTGTCTCCTAACCCAAAAACTATTAGAATTTCTACCCTTTTAAGACACCTTACTGAACAACTCAAAGCAATAAGGACGAATATGACCATACCTACCACAATGATGACAAACAAAAATAGGTTTTACCTTCATTTTGTTAATCTTACCTCCGTTCGGCAGATGAAGAGAGAGATCACCTTGTTGCACCTTCAGCTTTTCCTTTGTTTGAGTCTTCAGGTCATGTGATGTAGAGGCCTGTCCCTTGTGAACTGTCGCATTACCATAACCTAGACACTTTTGTCACAACCCATTTGCTGAGACCCGAGGATGTCTTCTAATGCCTTGGAACCTTTGTTCCACATGGCAATTGTGGCTCTAGCATCTTTGAGTTCTTTATCTTTTTGACCAGCCATCTCTTCCAATGTAGCTTGTGACATCTCAAGATTTTCAGTCTTCTCTTCATATGTTGCATATATTTTCAGAAGTTCATTCCTTTCGGTCTCACAAGATAGAAGTTTCCCACATAGGTTTTGCCTGTCATTAGAGATCTTGATGACATTCTGCTTTGTTGTTGCAATTTCTCCTTTTAGCTTGACATTCTCGCTTTCACAAGCTTTGAGCTTGAGAGTGAGTTTGTCATTTATCTTGGACAAATTCAGAGATTCATCGTAAACCTTTTCATAAGTTTGTTGTAGGTCATCACCATCAATCTCATCATTGTCTTCCGAGGTCTCATCATTTTCTTTTTGCTCCTTTTTCTCCTAGACCTCATCCAGTCGAGCAACTAAGGTATGAAAATTGATAGATGGTGGTGAAGATGACTCTCCTCTTTCATGAAATTGTCTCAGAATGTCCCATGTATCTTTGGCCTTTGTGCAGTGAGCAATGCGTTGCTGTTCTTCATCAAAAATTACTTCTTGAATGGTAGTCAGAACTCTTTGATTACTTGGATTGTCAGTGCTTTCAACATCCTCTTCAATGGCTTGCCAGCCCTCAGGGTCGTAAGCTCTCAGAAACATAATCATTCTAATCTTCTAGAACAAGTAATTACTCCCATCAAAGGTAGGTGCACGGTGTAGATTTTGACCACGAGCAAATTCCACTGGCTTTGGAGGAGGTTGAGTGGCTGTAAACTATAATGCCATGTAAGTACTATGTCCATCTTCACCGTATTCAGTTTCATCAGGTTCTTGCTCTGACCCGCTTTCATCATCCCAAGTCACTGTATAGACTTTCTTTCGGTTCTTTTTCGAAGGACATTCAAGAGTAATATGTCCAAACCCTTGACATTCGTACTTGACCCCTTGCCCCTTTATAATTTTATTTTCAGTTTTTGAACCAATTTTTGGTGGAAAAGTTTTAAGTTTTTTATTACTCTTATCTTTTGAAATAGGTCTTTGAAATTAGGCTTATTTTTCTTTAAACTTTTTTTGAACTGTTTAGTAAACATAGTCGTCATCTCGGACTTTAGATCAAACTCAATCTCAGGAGTTTTTGCAGTCTCATGAGCACTATTGAAAGCCACACTACCTTTTTATTTTTTCTTAGAAATCTGGAGGGCTTCATAAGTCTGCAAGTTTTCAACCAATTGATCAAGCTTGAGGGTATCAACATCCTGAGCCTTCTCAATAGTTGTCACTTTTGATTAGGACCTTTCGGGTAAAGACCTCAAAATTTTTCCAACAACCTTTGCTTTAGGGATTTTTTCACCGAATGTGAAATAGGAATTCACGATGTCACTAAGTTTAGCATAAAAATCGTCAAACGTCTCATCATCAAGCAAAAAAAGAGTTTCAAAGGCTGAGGTGAGACGTTGAAGTTTTGACCTTTTAATAGAAGTAGTACTCTCGTGAATTGTTTCAAGAATGTCCCAAGCCTCTTTTGCTACCTCACACGTGCAAATATGACAAAACTCTTAAGGTGTGATAGAGCAAAACAGGGAATTGAGAGCCTTACTGTTCCAACTCGAGTTTTGATAGTCGAATGCGTCCCATTTATCAAGGGGTTTGGGAATATCAACACCATCAATGGTGATAACAGGTTCACTCCACCCATAGATCACACAGTGCCAAACTTTCTCATCGATAGATTTTAAAAACGCTCTTATACGAGCTTTCCAATGAGAACAGTTTGTACTATCAAGTAACCGAGGTCTATGGGTTCAGTTACCTTCGCGAATTGAATCCGTATCACCAATCACACAAAATCACACTCCTGTAGCTTTGATAAAAACAAACAGTGACCCGCTCTGATACCAATTGAAAAACCTAAGTGATTCATGATTAGATCAAGATTTAATTGTGCCAATTTTCAACCAATTAAAACTCACAATCTAAATCATCAAGAATGTATGAAAGTGATTTAGATTATTGTTTCAGAAACAATAAATAGACACAAACGATTTTTACGTGGAAACAAATCACTATTGGAGCACCTCTAATTGTGATTAAAAAATCACGGGCGAAATGCCATAAATCAATCCACTACTGAAGAAAGAAAGATTACAAATAGCCAAACAAATTACCCAAACGCTGTCAATTTGTCTTCCACAATCTGTATATTTCACCGCAACCTTCGTCTCGGAATTGATAAAATTAATGTTGAATCCACAACATCCATTGTCGAATCAATGACTGCACACAGCATCAAACTCCTTCGATTACTCTGCTCTTGAATCTTCGAATTCCACCGAAAAAGAACGCTCTTAAAGAAGAAGAACCAAACTCCTTGATGTGTGCTAATCAAAACATAAGCTCAATACTCAATCAAACATCAAAGAAAACTTGCAAACCAGCCCCAAAAGAAAACCCTAAAACCCTTAAAGAAGATTTAAAAAACATAACCTTAAAACTGACTTAAACAAGTACTTATAGAAAACAGAGGCAACGAAGCTCGCTCGAGTGAGGAACCAAATACGCGTGTTTTTCCTTAAGTGGCATCGCTCGAGCCAAGCTTCCTTCGCTCGAGCTCACAATCCTTTTTCACAGAATTTTTGCAGAGATAGACAATTTCTAGGAGCAGGACTTCTTCGCTCGAGCCAGGACTCCTTCGCTCGAGCGAGCAAGGCAAAACAACTAGGAAAATTATAACTCGATAAGCAATGTTGTTCGTGGGATTGACAAGACTGAGGAACCTAACAGGTATATTATGAGATATGTCATGTTGAGATATGTTATGTTGTATATATTGCGATGTGATGCATGGGCCAGAATGTTTGTGAAGTTTATGCCTAGATAAGTTAGCGGTTATGTGTGGATTTACTTTAGGCATTGGGAAGCTGATGAGATGTGGGAGTGCCTAATTTAACGCCTCCTGTACTTTAGGGTTGGGTGAAGTGTTTATGCATCCTTTTAGCATGTCCAACATGTTACATCACTTTTTTTGAGATCGGTGTAACATTTATGACAGATGATTATAGTATCTTGGGGAGGTTCCAGAGAAGAAGCTCGAATTCTGTTTTGATCATGTTTGTCAAAATTGTGCTTCTTCTTAGTTGTTACTCATCTTATAACAGGCTTATCGAACACATATTAGTGTCATTTCCACGCCCACTTATCAAGCGAGACAACTATTTTACACATTCTAAGATCATGGTTGTTAAATTCAGGATCTTATGTTAGATTGGTAAGAGGGTCTCGTGCATAATATTCTGCTTTCTATTAAAAATAAGATAAGAATGCAAACAAGGATGATGTGTATTAAAAGATGACAACTCAAAAGCCCAGCATCTTACTTACGATCCTACCTATGATCCCATATGATCCCATACTATTCTACTTGCGATCCTACTATAACACCGACCCTACAACAATTTGGATCATTTTGGCAATTTAGGATCTTACAATCCTACGATCTAGATCACATTTTTGATAACCATGTCTAAGATGTCTGTGCAAAACAGATGTCACCTTTCTGATTTGTTGATTAGTGCTTATCTTTGCTGAAGGCTATATTTCAAAATCGTACGTTTTATTATTACATGCGCATTGGATATTTCTTCTACTAAACTAATGATTGTGAACTTAGGGTTGTCCTTCTTTTACATAAAGATTCATAGTGCGTAGTGTTTCTACTTGCTTGGTGATAGGATTTGACACTCTACACTCTTTCTTTGTAGATTGGATCAATATGCTATTGCAAAATTTGCTGAGAGCTTTGAGATGGTACCTAAAACCCTAGTTGAGAATGCTGGCCTGAACGCAATGGAAATAATATCTTCTTTGTATGCTAAACACGCATCTGGAAACACCAAGGTAGGCATTGATTTGGAGGAAGATGTATGCAAGGATGTCTCTCCCATGAATATATGGGACCTGCATGACACCAAGTAAGCTACTTCTCACTGTTTTAAAGCCAATTATTCTTTCCCTCTAAGAGCTTCAATGGTATGGTCAAAAGCTTGTTATAGTCAAAATATAGCATGGTATATATGGTATAAAAATCGTTGTTCGCTTGTATATAGCTTGCTGTTGTCAAAATGACATTATTTATCCAAAAGGATACTTATCTATTCAAAATTTAGCTATTTGTTTATGTGTTCAAATGTTACCTATCTATCAAACTATCTGTTCAAATGTCCACCTATCTTTTTCAATTGTCACCTTGTTAGAAATTAACTTTTCCTAATCAAGATCGGTGATACACAAAATTACAAACAAGTGAGATAATCGAATCAAAGAAATCAAACACACACAAGAATATAAGAATTTACGTAGGTCATCCCAGAATGAGACTATGTTTACGGTTGCTGCTGTTTTCACTATAATTAGAAAATAATACAACTGTGTTATAAGTACAGAATTAGGGCAACGCGGATATAATAAGAAAATTACTAAAGTATTCAAAAAATTCGAACCAGAGGGTAAACTCTAACTTGGACTCTCCCCCCTCCCTCACTTTAAGAGGTCCTCCAAACCCACCATTGGACCTATAGAGTTCAATGAACAATACTTATTAGGATCAATAAAACCAATAATACCTATCTGTCCATCTTATTCATCGCCTCTTGCAACTTTTGGTAACTTTCAATGTGTGTTCTTAACATAAAAAAAATAAAATTAAACTTTAATTAAATAACATATGGCCTATAAGAATGAATTTTTTTACTAATTAATCCTTGAAAAATTTAGTTGATGAGATAGAACTAAAGAACAATAATTGAGGTGATAAAATGTAATCAATCTTAAATTTTTATCACTAGATAAAAAGGTAGTGGTCTCATCAATACAGTAACTTTTGAAATCTTTGTAGTTCATAGACTTTGGCTAGGTTTCAATAAAAAATCAATTACTGTATATTTTTGTTAGGAAAAAGATAGCCATCTTGTATTATTCATCTTCACATGATTGAAGATTTAAATATGTTGCTTGGAAATTACTCAAATTCCAACTAGAAAGTAGCCAGAAAATCAACAAATTGCAGTATGTATAAAATTTGGATGGAAATTTTATAATTCAGATAGTCAGATTCAAACCCATCCACCAATGAAATGAACTGCTTGTGATCAATTGTCTCTCTGAACATACTGGCAATGCGTAGACTTTTGGCTTTGTTATCATTGTGCAATTTTAAAATTTTTGACTTTAGACTTGGCAGCATATATCTATCTTCTATATATTATTATTAAGGGTAAATTATAAATATACCTCGAATTTTGATTAAAATACAAATCGCTCTTTATAATCTTAGAAATTACATTTCACCTCTTGAGATTTCTAATTTCATAACAAATCGTCCATTTTATTAATAAATCATAAAGTTAATTAACCGTTTTTAATGATGTTATAAATATATTTCAATTAATAATTTAGATAATTTTATTATTTTATAGGAGAGAAATTATGAATTTTTTTTTTTAATTAATTCTGTTAAATAAAATTTTTTAACAATAGAGTGTTTGTAATTTTTCAAATTACAAGAGATAATTTGTAATTTTAACAAACTTTAGAAGATGTATTTATAATTTATACGATTATTAAATGAATGCTCAACTTAATATTTAAGTCTTCTTTTTATGTCACATAGTAGATTTTTTTATCTTATCTTAAAATAAAAATTTATATAAAAAGCAGTGTATGCACAAAGTTTAAACTCAAAATTTTAGATTTCACACCGAGCACTCTTACTATTAAAATAACATATATTAATTATTTATTATTTATTTTTATTTTTATTTATTTGAATTTCACCCCATGCCACAGCTAGTATTAGTATATATATACTTCATAATCAGATTTTATATTTGGTAAATCACTCCCAATAATTCTAAAATCACACTGATATTTCCTCTATTCTCTAAAATCACATTGACATTCCCTATATTCTCTAAAATCACATGTACTCTATTGCTTTAAAACATTTTGTAATACTTAGGTCCAACAGTTCACTTAAAAAAAAAATATTATTATTATTATTTTAATTATTATTAATTTTTTTTTAATGATAATTTTCATGTCTAAAACATTTATCCATCACTGCTTTGGGCAAGGAAAATGGCAGGGGCACGACACCAACATTTTTACAAACAATCATATTAACACACAAATTTCAATGGATTCCAACTGACGCTCCATTTGTATTGGTAGAACAGACTTTTGAAAAATATCATTTTGTAATTTATAATATTTGGCTGGTCAAAAAATAAAAATTAACAAAAAAACTCATGAACTGATCTGGTGGTCCGTGATTAATATGTTTGTCTTCTAAATATTGTGTATAGATCATATATAAAAAAATATTCATAATAATGATTTTAAATAATAGTAGTGAAATATATATTGGTATTGGTGATATAATCATATACCCTGATATCGAATAGTATAAGATAATATCGAGTTTCATTACGACTACATAGTTGAGAGAATTATGATCGGTGCACAACAATGAATTTTATTTGTTGGGTTGTTTTGGATCACTACCAAATTTGAAATTATTCTGAGCTCTATTGCTAAAGAAAAATGTTTGAGGGCCACAAAAAGTGTGGCTCAAATGGCTCAAAACTGTCAAAACGACGTCGTTTTGGGCAAATAAAATGGCAAAACGACGTCGTTTTGACAGTTTTGAGCCACACTTTTTGTAGCCCTCTACCATTGCTCATTGCTAAAATGACAATGTTATCCTTACCCCCAATTTTTATTTATTTATTTATTTATTTATTTATTTATTTATTTTTTTAACTAGCCTTACCCCCAAACTTGACCCATGTCGATCTAAGTCAAAAACTTGACCCAATGTTATCCTGTTCTAAATCATAAACTTATTGTTCCGTTGGTCCACTTAATTGAACTAATTGGAAGTGGATTCCCCATGAAGTTTCCGAAGCTAAGATTAAACTGTGAACCCTTTTGTGAACTTGAAAACCCAAAAGCCAATCTTATGCCTCTCACCACATTTTGCAACTCAAAGATCAACAATATACATTTGAGATATTCTGTCTCAAGGTTCGAATTAGCAGCCCAAGCTGACTTGTTTGAAAAACAAAACCTCAAACAAAATGAACAAATTAAGTTCAAACCTTATTTGAATGATCAAACTTGGCAGAGTATAATTCGAACACCGAACACAAATATTGCAAACAATAATCACATAGGAAGGCAAAGCAAGAAAGACACCAAAATCAACCCAGAAGGCCAGAACAGACCAACAAGAACATATTTTCCAACCCAAACACAACAAAAAATTGCAGAAAATTCAAACCAAGTTGGACAAACTTTGTGCGATTCCGCTTATAAACTGTGCATTTTGTTTGCTCATTTCCATTTGAATTTGAAGCAATTGCATATGCTGCTGAGCCTTGGCAACTGCTTCTTCTGCTGAATATTCCTTTGTTTCTTCTTCTTCTGGTCTTTTCTCAGCAGTCACACAATGCAAGTCAGTACCATAATCACATACTTGACAATAGTATACCCAACAGCTGTCATCGACTGAGAATTGGCATACATCGCAGTAGAAGATCAAGTCCGTCGCACTATCCTCTTCAGATTTCTTGTATGGAGATGAATACAAGAGAGTCAGCAGGTGCTCATGATCTTCGCGTTTCACAGTTTCGAGCAATGTAGCACACTTGACATGGAGATCAAACTTGCAGTCTTTACAGTGGTAGGTAAAACCAGTGCCAATTTCACGACAGGCATTGCAGGTGAATTCATTGTATTCTTTGTAAGGCGGGGACGAGAGAAGCGTGAGAGTGTGTTTGGGATGCGATTTGTGGTGAATCTCTTGTGGTAATTCGAAGCAGGACTTGTGAATGTCAAAGTTGCACCTTTGCTTGGTGCAACTGTAAGCCGAGCCAGAAAGGCACTGATCACAAACAGAGCAGGGAATGTAATCTTTCTCTTGAACTTTGGATAAATGCAAGGCATGATGGTGGCTGAAATGCTTTACATTTCGTGGTTGTGTTTGATTTGGTGGATCAGCACGTGACTTTCCCTCGTTAGCAAGACCTGTCTGAGCACTAGAATTGTGCAGAGCTTCATTTGGTTGAGAGTACTGTGGCTTAGGACCATTGACAACAGGAACTTGTTGGTTTTCAACAGCATATGGGGCATGTGTTGCTTCATTGGCTGTTGAAGAAAGTGCTTGATTTGATGAAGTGTATTGTGGGTTAGGCCTATTATTGATCACAGATTCATGGGTGGTAGTACTAGTTTAGGCACGTAAGCATATTAAGGATTGAAACTTGGTGTTTCATGGGAAAAAAAGTACTGTTGATTTGCACCAGTATATGGAGCACATGTTGGTTGATTAGCCAATCCTATTAGGGCATTTAAACTTGACAATGCTTCATTTGGTGAAGTGTATTGTGGTGGGATGGGGTTAGGACCATTGACAAAAGATTCATGGATGGCGGTAGTTTCAGGCCTGTAAGCACACTGGGGACTAAAACCGGGCATTTCATGGGGAAAAGAGTAATGCTGATTTGCTGAATTGTATTGTTGGTTGGGACAATTTATGGGAACAGATTCACGGGTAATATTTTCAGGCCTATAAACATATTGAGGAGGACTAAAACTCGGCGATTCTTGACGGAAAGAGGGATTTGGGATAGGAAAACTAGGATATGGTGATGGGGGAACAGGCATGTAAGCGCAATGGACATGAAGGTCAAATTCACACGTGGAACAGCTGTAGGAGAAGCCGGTTCCAGCGAGATTGCAGGAATTGCAGAAGAAAGAGGAAGAGGGGTAAGTGGGATAGGGGAAGAGGCTGAGAGGATGAGATGGGTGGGAAGGGTGGTTCAATGAGCGAGTTGCTTGAAAGCATTGCTCATGAAGATTGAAGTTGTTGCACTGCCTGCAGGTGTAGACAGAGCCTGAGGCCGGAGTGTTGCAGCCTGAGCACTGGATTTCGGGCACTTGGTCAGGGATTTGTCGAAAACACAAGCCATGGGGGTGGCTAAAATGCTTGAACTCCATTTCTGTTTGTTTGTGTGATCTTGAAACAAGCCATTTCTATATATAAATATACATTACACATATATACAAGTTGGTGCAAGGAGGCCAGCAAGTTAATGCTTATGAATAACCATTATTTGGTTGACTTTGAACTTTCTATATATGTAGAGGGAAGATTGGTATTGACTTTGTATTGCTTATGTACAGCTCCTTATAGTTAGCTTCATTTCAAAATCAAAGGGTAGTTAATCAATCAACACTTTTTCTTCAGATTTTGGGTCAAGAAATGTACATGTAGAAAGTACAAGTGTGGCTGAGATTTGATTTCGTATTGTATTTGTTGGGAAAACTCAAATATTTTCCCTTCTTGTATAATTAGAAAATGGGCAATAAACCACAAAATACAAGCAATTACATGGCTGAAATTAAAGGCACAAAAACAATCACAAAACACCAAATTTACGTGGTTCGGTAAAAATGCCTACATCCCCGGGTCCAACTCCGAATCAACTTCCACTATAAAATAATGGGGTTACAAGATATCAACTCTAGTCACAATTAGAGAAATACAATCATCAAGATATATTCTTGGATCACCAACAATAGTTATATCATCACCGTAAAGGTGGGTTTCAACAAAATCAACAAGAGATAAAGTTTAATTCTCACCAAAGTGGGTATCCTAAACTACATATCTAAAAGAGCTTTGACAAGATCTACTTCAACTAAAATGTAGAGCTCGATTCCATGAACAACATGCTGAAATTTCATCAAGATTGGATAAGAAATGACCATTCAATCTTGGTTTGAACTATGAAAGAAACCTTACATTTTCTTCTCTCTCTCTGTCTCTCTCTCGGCCCTCTGTTTTTTGTGTTGCTGTGTATTCAAAAGAAACCTTAGGCCCAAAAGTCTTACTTCATTCCCATTTTTTAATTTTTTTTTAACATGTACCAAGTCAAAGCATTTTTGAGAGGTTTTATAAACTATAATAAAATAATAAATAAAATACTCTTGGTGTGGCCCACCCATTTAAGAAGGGACCTACCCAATGAATCTCTCCCTCCCGACTTAGGTGGGGGCCACAAACAACCCCGCCTTGCTTCTACAAAAATCATGCTTCTCCTTGGACAACGATTTAGTCATCATATCTGACCCATTCTCATCAGTGTGAACCTTCTCAACTTGAAGCAATTTTCCTTCTAAGACATTGTGTATCCAATGATACATCGCATCAATGTGCTTCAACCTTGAGTGTAATGTCGGATTCTTGCTCAAGTGGATAGCACTTTGGTTGTCACATATGAGAACATATTTCTCTTGCTTTATAACGAGTTGAATCAAATTGAATTTATACTTTAATCTCAGTTGGGGATTTATATTAAATTATTAAACTCCATTCATTTTGAACCCAATTGATTAAATCGTGACCCGTTAGTAACCATGTAATATTGTTGTGGTTTTATTATTATTATTTGGTTACCATAAAAGAGTTGTGAATATTTATGGTGTGTACCATTAAACGAAATATATTTTGTGCTGAGAAAATATTATATTTACTTTTGTCATTAAAGATGTTGAAATGTATTTTTAATTGATATATATATATATATATATATATATATGGTTAGATATTTGTTTAGTTAAAAAAAAAGAAAAAAAAAGAAATATCTATAAATAGTAACCAAATAGATATTTTGTTCAACTTTTAGGAATTCTTGGAGTTCTTGCCATGAGGAAACAAGAGAAAAGAAGTTCTAAGTTGGTTTTTCTTGGATTTGATTTAGTGTAAGTCATTTTTGACCCCTAGTGCTTTGGATCAAAACGTATAGGGCGGAAAAGGCGTCGTTTGGCTCGAAAAAAATTTAATTTTTGTTGGCGAAAAATTTGAAAGCTTCTTGGCTTGAGGTAGAGATTTTTCCTACACTTCTTTATGCACTTTTACTTGATTATATGGAGCTTAGAGTTGTATATAATTTAATTAGAATTTTTGAAAAATTTGTGATTTAATTGCTTAAAAGAGAAATTTTGAGAAAAATAAAGAGTTGATGCCCAAATTGTGAAAGTGTAAACTTGGAATATGTTTGTAAGGTTATGAAAGAGTTATGTTTTAAATTTGAACAAAAACAGACGTCGACTTGATCGGTTTTGAAATTTTTTCCGGTTTGTGACCAAAAGAGCATGTTTAAAGAAAATAAAGAAATTATGTTTAACTTTTGGGACTTTTGATCAAAATTGGATGTCATAGTTGAATAATGCTTGGAGAATGAGTTTGCAAAGAAAATAATGTTTTCTTGGGCATTAATGGCATTATTTTGCTTAATGTATCTGTTGCAATAAAATCGGCACGGTTAGAAATGGACCTTGAGAGGTTATCGGACGAGATTGTGATATGAAAACTAGTATAATTGTTCATATTTGATGAGATGTGGAATAGATTGTATTTATCAGAATTTTTGAAATTTAATTGTTCAAATATCTGTTTAGAAATATCTGTTTTGGGCTATCGGTGGAGGATAACCATGATTATTGTAAAAATGTAAGAGACTTAGGTAAATTGAACCACATTCCTCATTTGTTGCATTGGACATTGCATTACATTCATTTCATTAGAAATGTATCTGTTTTTGAGAAATGTTTGGAAATGTATCTGTTTGCGAAAAGATTAATACTTGGTGAATCTGGATAGGGGGTGTAGAACCGCGCGCTTAGGTGTCGAGCCTTCCAGTTTACTAGTAAAAATGATAGTGGTAGTGCATTAGGGCCTACTTGCAGACACTCACCTAGAGATTCACAGAGCTTGTATTCATGTAACAGATATGGTTTAAAATGGAAATGGCTTTATATCTGTTGTTACATCTCAGCATTGCATGCTTTATAAAAAGAGAGATAAACTGTTTTATCATGAGCATGGCATGAACGTACTCCTCTTTAGTCTTGTCATGGTCCATATGTTATGTAGTATATCTCTACTGGGTTGTGGCTCACCCTATAAGGGAAACCATTTAAAGTACATGTGATATGCCTCCGCCAAGGCATTGGCTTGGGAAGACTCGGAGCTGAGGCTTCATTTTTGTTTTATTGTTATTTGTTGAATGTAAGCCCAAGGCTGTATTTGCATTGAGTTAAAACTCCATTTTGTGTAACCAAGAATGTTCTTGGATAAATTTGTAAGCCTGTAGGGCGCTCGTTATCTGTTTGGCTTCCATTTCATACTTGTTGTAAAATACATGCTTGGGATTAGAACTGGGGCATTGAGATGTAAACAACATGCATTTGGCATTTGGGATTAAATAGAAATGGATGTATGGAATAGTTAGCTATATATATGTATTTGTCTATCATGTGAATTTTGTTGCATAAATAGATATTTCTTGCCTAATTTTCGAGGCGTTACATGCTTTAACCCCAATTTATGTAGAAGTCTTTTGATCCATAACATCTCCTTGCATCCCTCTACTACTGTGATGTATTTGGCTTCCATGGCAGATAAAGCAACACATTTTTGCAACTTTGACTGCCAAGAAATAGCTCCCCCTAAAAAAGTCATCAAGTACCCTGATGTGGACTTCCTAGAATCAATGTCTCCAGCCATGTCTGCATCTGTTGAGCCTTCTAGCAGAGATTTCCATCTCCAAAATATAAACACATCTTGGAAGTGCCTCTAAGATACCTGAGAATCCATTTTACTGCAGTCTAATGATCTTTTCCAAGATTGGAAAGAAATCTACTCACAATGCCAACCGCATAAGCTATATTCGGCTTGGTGCATGTTGATTTTAATACACTGGTGGACCCATAAATACAACCTTTATTGATAGCACTCTAGTACACAAAACACTTTTACACAATCACACACTAATACACTTTACTTATCCACTCACACATACATTCAAACACTTACACTTTGTATCCTCCTCACACAAGACCTAGAGACGCCTCACACTAGATAGTATTTGACCACTCATTTTGGACTCACTCTTCTTTCACTCAATTGTCCAATTGTCCAATTACCTAGTACATGCCCTCATCTCATATTTATACCTGTTAAAGAACTTTCAAGAATACACTCATACTTTCCTTACACTCTAGAACAATCTAGATTACTCTAGTACATATTAGAGTTTTTTGTTCTTCTCTAAAATATTCTAGAACCTTCAGGAACTTTCTAGATTTCTCTAGTTTTCTCGAAATTTCTTTAATGTTCCGGAACTTTTTAGAATATTCTAGAATCTTCCAGATTTCTCTATGTGAGAACCCGAATATACAAATCAAGTAAATAATTAAGTAATAATAATTTTACAATCTCGAATATTTTGATGGTGAATCCTAAAGTGCAAATTAAATATTATTGGAGGATCTTTTAACTAAATTTTAAATCTAAAATAAATTTATGCTGGAAATCTCTAATTTAGAGGTAAGATTTACTATTAAAATAAACAACAACAACAACAACAACAACAACAACAACAACAATAATAATAATAATAATAATAATATGTTAAGGGAGTTTGATTATTTGAAGTGTGTTGGTGTAGACGCTCCCGCAGAGAGACCTGTAGACGTCCCCGAACGCCCCGGGAGGAACGAGCTCCCGTTCTGTTCATTTTGGGGTCACTACAGCTCGGACTCTTAAAATGTCACGGTTCCTAATCTGAACCAAAGAGTCCAAATCCGGCAAATCGTTTTGAGAAACTGATTTTTGAAAAAGTAGTGCCAAACATGGACTGCTTTGCCAGATACAGAGTCGCCACCTAAATATTTTATTTTGGGAAATTTAGGAAACCCTGACTCGGTGCCAAAAGGCCACGTGTCCGTCATTAAACTAAGTTGGACAAACTTTGTGCGATTCCGCTTATAAACTGTGCATTTTGTTTGCTCATTTCCATTTGAATTTGAAGCAATTGCATATGCTGCTGAGCCTTGGCAACTGCTTCTTCTGCTGAATATTCCTTTGTTTGTTCTTCTTCTGGTCTTTTCTCCGCAGTCACACAATGCAAGTCAGTACCATAATCACATTCTTGACAATAGTATACCCAACAGCTGTCATCAACTGAGAATTGGCATACATCGCAGTAGAAGATCAAGTCCGTCGCACTATCCTCTTCAGATTTCTTGTATGGAGATGAATAAAAGAGAGTCAGCAGGTGCTCATGATCTTCGCGTTTCACAGTTTCGAGCAATGTAGCACACTTGACATGGAGATCAAACTTGCAGTCTTTACAGTGGTAGGTAAAACCAGTGCCAATTTCACGACAGGCATTGCAGGTGAATTCATTGTATTCTTTGTAAGGCGGGGACGAGAGAAGCGTGAGAGTGTGTTTGGGATGCGATTTGTGGTGAATCTCTTGTGGTAATTCGAAGCAGGACTTGTGAATGTCAAAGTTGCACCTTTGCTTGGTGCAACTGTAAGCCGAGCCAGAAAGGCACTGATCACAAACAGAGCAGGGAATGTAATCTTTCTCTTGAACTTTGGATAAATGCAAGGCATGATGGTGGCTGAAATGCTTTACATTTCGTGGTTGTGTTTGATTTGGTGGATCAGCACGTGACTTTCCCTCGTTAGCAAGACTTGTCTGAGCACTAGAATTGTGCAGAGCTTCATTTGGCTGAGAGTACTGTGGCTTAGGACCATTGACAACAGGAACTTGTTGGTTTTCAACAGCATATGGGGCATGTGTTGGTTGATTGGCTGTTGAAGAAAGTGCTTGATTTGATGAAGTGCATTGTGGGTTAGGCCTATTATTGATCACAGATTCATGGGTGGTAGTACTGGTTTCAGGCATGTAAGCATATTGAGGATTGAAACTTGGTGTTTCATGGGAAAAAGAGTACTGTTGATTTGCACCAACATATGGAGCATGTGTTGGTTGATTAGCCAATCCCATTGGGGCATTCAAACTTGACAATGCTTCATTTGGTGAAGGGTATTGTGGTGGGATGGGGTTGGGACCATTGACAAAAGATTCATGGGTGGTGGTAGTTTCAGGCCTGTGAGCATACTGGGGAGTAAAACCCGGCGTTTGGGACTAAAACCCGGCGTTTTGTTGGGGAAAGAGGAATGCTGATTTGCTAAATTGTATTGTTGGTTGGGACAATTTATGGGAACAGATTCACGGGTAATATTTTCAGGCCTATAAACATATTGAGGAGGACTAAAACTCGGCGATTCTTGACGGAAAGAGGGATTTGGGATAGGAAAACTAGGATATGGTGATGGGGGAACAGGCATGTAAGCGCAATGGACATGAAGGTCAAATTCACACGTGGAACAACTGTAGGAGAAGCCGGTTCCAGCGAGATTGCAGGAATTGCAGAAGAAAGAGGAAGAGGGGTAAGTGGGATAGGGGAAGAGGCTGAGAGGATGAGATGGGTGGGAAGGGTGGTTCAATGAGCGAGTTGCTTGAAAGCATTGCTCATGAAGATTGAAGTTGTTGCACTGCCTGCAGGTGTAGACAGAGCCTGAGGCCGGAGTGTTGCAGCCCGAGCACTGGATTTCGGGCACTTGGTCAGGGATTTGTCGAAAACACAAGCCATGGGGGTGGCTAAAATGCTTGAACTCCATCTCTGTTTGTTTGTGTGATCTTGAAACAAGCCATTTCTATATATAAATATACATTATACATATATACAAGTTGGTGCAAGGAGGCCAGCAAGTTAATGCTTCTGAATAACCATTATTTGGTTGACTTTGAACTTTCTATATATGTAGAGGGAAGAGTGGTATTGACTTTGTATTGCTTATGTACAGCTCCTTATAGTTAGCTTCATTTCAAAATCAAAGGGTAGTTAATCAATCAACACTTTTTCTTCAGATTTTGGGTCAAGAAATGTACATGTAGAAAGTACAAGTGTGGCTGAGATTTGATTTCGTATTGTATTTGTTGGGAAAACTCAAATATTTTCCCCTCCTTGTGTAATTAGAAAATGGGCAATAAACCACAAAATACAAGCAATTACATGGCTGAAATTAAAGGCACAAAAACAATCACAAAATACCAAATTTACGTGGTTCGGTAAAAATGCCTACATCCCCAGGTCCAACTCCGAATCAACTTCCACTATAAAATAATGGGGTTACATGATATCATTTCTAGTCACAACTAGAGAAATACAATCATCAAGATATATTATTGGATCACCAACAATAGTTATATCATCACCGTAAAGGTGGGTTTCAACAAAATCAACAAGAGATAAAGTTTAGTTCTCACCAAAGTGGGTATCCCAAACTACATATCTAAAAGAGCTTTGACAAGATCCACTCCAATTAAAATGTAGAGCATGATTCCATGAACAACATGCTGAAATTTCATCAAGATTGGATAAGAAATGACCCTTCAACCTTGGTTTGAACTATGAAAGAAACCCTACATTTTCTTCTCTCTCTGTCTCTCTCTCGGCCTTCTGTTTTTTGTGTTGCTGTGTATTCAAAAGAAACCTTAGACCCAAAAGTGTTACTTCATTCCCATTTTTTAAGTTTTTTCTAACATGTACCAAGTCCAAGCATTTTTTAGAGGTTTTATAAACTATAATAAAATAACAAATAAAACACTCTTGGTGTGGCCCACCCATTTAAGAAGGGACCTACCCAATGAATCTCTCCCTCCCGACTTAGGTGGGGGCCACAAACAACCCCACCTTGCTTCTACAAAAATCATGCTTCTCCTTGGACAACGATTTAGTCATCATATCCGACCCATTCTCATCAGTGTGAACCTTCTCAAGTTGAAGCAATTTTCCTTCGAAGGCATTGTGTATCCAATGATACATCGCATCAATGTGCTTCGACCTTGAGTGTAATGTCGGATTCTTGCTCAAGTGGATAGCACTTTGGTTGTCACATAAGAGAACATATTTTCTTGCTTTGTAACAAGTTGAATCAAATTGAATTTATACTTTAATCTCAGTTGGAGATTTATATTAAATTATTAAACTCCATTCATTTTGAATCCAATTGATTAAATTGTGACCCATTAGTAACCATGTAATATTGTTGTGGTTTTATTATTATTATTTGGTTACCATAAAAGAGTTGTGAATATTTATGGTGTGTACCATTAAACGAAATATATTTTGTGGTAAGAAAATATTATATTTACTTTTGTCATTAAAGATGTTGAAATGCATTTTTAATTGATATATATATATATATATAGGTGTATAAATATATGGTTAGATATTTGTTTAGTTAAAAAAAAAGAAAAAAAAAAGAAATATCTATAAATAGTAACCAAATAGATATTTTGTTCAACTTTTAGGAATTCTTGGAGTTCTTGCCCTGAGGAAATAAGTGAAAAGAGGTTCTCAGTTGGTTTTTCTTAGATTTGATCTAGTGTAAATTATTTTTGACCCCTAGTGCTTTGGATCAAAACGTAGAGGGCGGAAAAGGCGTCGTTTGGCTCGAAAAAAATTTAATTTCTGTTGGCGAAAAATTTGAAAGCTTCTTGGCTTGAGGTAGAGATTTTTCCTACACTTCTTTATGCACTTTTACTTGATTATATGGAGCTTAGAGTTGTATATAATTTAATTAGAATTTTTGAAAAATTTGTGATTTAATTGCTTAAAAGAGAAATTTTGAGAAAAATAAAGAGTTGATGCCCAAATTGTGAAAGTGTAAACTTGGAATATGTTTGTAAGGTTATGAAAGAGTTATGTTTTAAATTTGAACAAAAACGGACTTCGACTCGATCGGTTTTGAAATTTTTTCCGGTTTGTGACCAAAAGAGCATGTTTAAAGAAAATAAAGAAGTTACGTTTAACTTTTGGGGTTTTTAATCAAAATAGGATGTCATAGTTGAATAATGCTTGGAGAATGAGTTTGGAAAGAAAATGATTTTTTCTTGGGCATTAACGGTATTATTTTGCTTAATGTATTTGTTGGAATAAAACCGACACAGTTAGAAATGGACCTTGAGAGGTTATTAGACGAGATTGTGATATGAAAACTAGTGTAATTGTTCATATTTGATGAGATGTGGAATAGATTGTATTTATCAAAATTTTTGGAATTTAATTGTTCAAATATCTGTTTAGAAATATCTGTTTTGGGCTATCGGTGAAGGATAGCCATGATTGTTGTAGAAATGTAAGAGACTTAGGTAAATTGAACCACATTCCTCATTTGTTGCATTGGACATTGCATTACATTCATTTCATTAGAAATGTATCTGTTTTTGAGAAATGTTTGGAAATGTATCTGTTTGCGAGAAGATGAATACTTGGTGAATCTGGGTAGGGGGTGTAGAACCGCGCGCTTAGGTGTCGAGCCTTCCAGTTTACTAGTAAAAATGATAGTGGTAGTGCATTGGGGCCTACTTGCAGACACTCACCTAGAAATTCACAGAGCTTGTATTCATGTAACAGATATGGTTTAAAATGGAAATGGCTTCATATCTGTTGTTGCATCTCAGCGTTGCATGCTTTATGAAAAGAAAGATAAACTGTTTTATCATGAGCATGGCATGAACGTACTCCTCTTTAGTCTTGTCATGGTCCATATGTTGTGTAGTATATCTCTACTGGGCTGTGGCTCACCCTATAAGGGAAACTATTTCAAGTAAATGTGATATGCCTCTGCTAAGGCATTGGCTTGGGAGGACTCAGAGCTGAGGCTTCATTTTTGTTTTATTATTATTTGTTGAGTGTAAGCCCAAGGCTGTATTTGCATTGAGTTGAAACTCCATTTTGTGTAACCAAGAATGTTCTTGGATAAATTTGTAAGCCTGTAGGGCACTCATTATCTGTTTGGCTTCCATTTCATACTTGTTGTAAAATACATGCTTGGGATTAGAACTGGGGCATTGAGATGTGAACAACATGCATTTGGCATTTGGGATTAAATGGAAATGGATGTATGGAATAATTAGCTATATATATGTATTTGTCTATCATGTGAGTTTTGTTGCATAAATAGATATTTCCTGCCAAATTTTCGAGGCGTTACATGCTTTAACCCCAATTCATGTAGAAGTCTTTTGATCCATAACATCTCCTTGCATCCCTCTACTACTGTGATGTATTCGGCTTCCATGGCAGATAAAACAACACATTTTTGCAACTTTGACTGCCAAGAAATAGCTCCCCCTAAAAAAATCATCAAGTACCTTGATGTGGACTTCCTAGAATCAATGTCTCCAGCCATGTCTGCATCTGTTGAGCCTTTTAGTAGAGATTTTCCATCTCCAAAATATAAACAAATCTTGGAAGTGCCTCTAAGATACCTGAGAATCCATTTCACTGCAGTCCAATGATCTTTTCCAAGATTGGAAAGAAATCTACTCACAATGCCAACCGCATAAGCTATATTCGACCTGGTGCATGTTGAGTTTAATACACTGGTGGACCCATAAATACAGCCTTCATTGATAGCACTCTAGTACACAAAAAACTTTTACACAATCACACACTAATACACTTCACCTATCCACTCACACATACATTCAAACACTCACACTTTGTATCCTCCTCACACAAGACCTAGAGACACCTCACACTAGATAGTACTTGACCACTCATTTTGGACTCACTCTTCTTTCACTCAATTGTCCAATTGTCCAATTACCTAGTACATGCCCCCATCTCATATTTATACCTGTTAAAGAACTTTCAAGAATACACTCATACTTTCCTTACACTCTAGAACAATCTAGATTACTCTAGTACATATTAGAGTTTTCTGTTCTTCTCTAAAATATTCTAGAACCTTCAGGAACTTTCTAGATTTCTCTAGTTTTCTCAAAATTTCTTTAATGTTCTGGAACTTTTTAGAATATTCTAGAATCTTCCAGATTTCTCTATGTGAGAACCCGAATATACAAATCAAGTAAATAATTAAGTAATAATAATTTTACAATCTCGAATATTTTGATGGTGAATCCTAAAGTGCAAATTAAATATTATTGGGGGATCTTTTAATTAATTTTTAAATCTAAAATAAATTTATGGTAGAAATCTCTAATTTAGAGGTAAGATTTACTATTAAAATAAACAACAACAACAACAACAACAACAACAATAATAATAATAAAAAAATATTAAGGGAGTTAGATTATTTGAAGTGTGTTGGTAACCCTAAACTCTCATCATATTGAATTAGCAGCCGTGAACTCTAGAGAGAAGAGGAGATAGGCGCAGCTTTTGGGTGAAAATTGAAGAACTAGTTTAGTGCTTGAATAACTCCATCTCCAAGGTAGAAATCAATATTTTGTGAATATAGTTATTTTGTATAGA